ACTCCTCACCCCCTGAGTGCAGAAAAAAATCAACAGTTACAGAAGAATCTCTAACACGGCAGTTAGCTAACATGGCAGTTAGCTAATATTGCGCTTAGCTAACACTGCAGTTTGCTAATACGGCAGTTAGCTAACACTGCAGTTAGCTAACACTGCAGTTAGCTAACACGGCACTTAGCTAACACTGCACTCAGCTAATACTGCACTCAGCTAATACTGCGCTCAGCTAACACTGCACTTAGCTAACACTGCACTTAGCTAACGCTGCAGTTAGCTAACACTGCACTCAGCTAACATGGCACTTAGCTAACACTGCCCTCAGCTAACACTGCCCTTAGCTAACACGGCGCTCAGCTAACACTGCACTTAGCTAACACAGTACTTAGCTAACATTGTACCTAGCTAACACGGCACTTAGCTAACACTGCACTTAGCTAATGCTGCAGTTAGCTAACACTGCAGTCAGCTAACACTGCAATCAGCTAATACTGCGCTCAGCTAACACTGCACTTAGCTAACACTGCACTTAGCTAACACTGCCCTCAGCTAACACTGCACTCAGGTAACACTGCATTTAGCTAACACTGCATTTAGCTAATACTGCACTTAGCTAATATTGCCTTCAGCTAATATTGCCCTTAGCTAACACTGCACTCAGCTAACACTGCACTTAGCTAACACAGCACCTAGCTAACACTGCCCTCAGCTAGAAATGCCCTTAGCTAACACGGCACTTAGCTATTATTGCACTTAGCTAACACTGCACTTAGCTAACACAGCAGTTAGCTAACACTGCAGTCAGCTAACACTGCTCTTAGGTAACACTGCAGTTAGCTAACACGGCAGTTAGCTAACACTTCCCTTAGCTAACACGGCACTTAGCTAACTTGGCACCTAGCTAACACTGCACTTAGCTAACACGGCACTCAGCTAACACTGCCCTTAGCTGACACTGCTCTTAGCTAACGCTGCAGTTAGCTAACACGGCACTTAGCTAACACTGCACTTAGCTAACACTGCATTTGAATAACACTGCACTTAGCTATTATTGCACTTAGCTAACACTGCAGTCAGCTAACACTGCAGTTAGCTAACACTGCACTTAGCTAACGCTGCAGTTAGCTAACACGACACTTAGCTAACACTGCACCTAGCTAACACTGCCCTCAGCTAGAAATGCCCTTAGCTAACACGGCACTCAGCTAACACTGCACTTAGCTAACACTGCACTTAGCTAATGCTGCAGTTAGCTAACACTGTGCTTAGCTAATATTGCACTCAGCTAACACTGCATTTAGCTAACACTGCACTCAGCTAACACTGCACTTAGCTAACACTGCACTTAGCTAATGCTGCAGTTAGCTAACACTGTGCTTAGCTAATATTGCACTCAGCTAACACTGCATTTAGCTAACACTGCACTCAGCTAACACTGCACTTAGCTAACACTGCACTTAGCTAACACAGCAGTTAGCTAACACTGCAGTCAGCTAACACTGCTCTTAGGTAACACTGCAGTTAGCTAACACGGCAGTTAGCTAACACTTCCCTTAGCTAACACGGCACTTAGCTAGTCCTGAATAACTCGGCAGCTTTTTTTTTTTTTTTTTTTTTTTACTACAGACCAATCATGGAAATGTTTACGTCAAACGACAAATATCTCAAAGTTCGATTTTTTTTTAAAAATACTGCGTCGTAGAAAAATTTTTTATTATTTTTAAAAAAAAACGTAGTAACGACAAATATGTCACAGTGAACACGAGTTGTCATTTAAAAAAAAACACAAAAAAAAACAGGAGGAAATGTCTCCCTCTTGTGTCCGACAGACGGAGTTACAGCACGTGGACTTTCTTCCCAATGTTAGAAATATTTAACAGCTCAACGAATAAAATAGTGTTTGGACCACGTGACGAGGCCTGTCCTGGTACTTCAGTCGACGTGTACTGTCAAATATTACTGCGTCGGGGAAACGTGTACTTCTATCAGTTCAGGTAAATGTAAACTTAAAAAAAAATGGAAAAAAACAACCGCTTCAGTGACTAGCTCTCTGATTGGCCTTTTCTCACAAAGGAGGCGGGACCTATGCGGAGCGACCAATGGGTAACGACGTCATCACGAGGAAGTCAACAGAGTTGTTTTGATCTGTCAAAAAATTAGAGGCGACTTATGACGTGATTTTTTTTTTTTACCCCGCGTTTCCGCGTGACAAAAACCACAGACAGAACAGACAGTTACTTGACAGACATTTTATTTATTTATTTTATTAATTTATTTATTTACTCTTCACCGCGTTCGCTGTTTTTACCCTGCGGTTCGGCCGTTAGCTAAGCTAAGCTAAGCTAAGCTAAGCGAACCTAACTGACGTTTACCGACTCTTTTAACTTCTCTCGTTTCGCGGGTCTTAAAACGTCTCTGTCTGTGTCCGGTCACCGGACCGAAAGGCGGCGCCAGCCGCTGGCGTTTTAGCCCTCGAGTCATGTGATGGACACCGCGGACACGACGGCGGCCATGAAGCCCAAAGACGAGGACCGGACCGCGGCGGAGGGCGGCGAGCCGAGTCCGGGAGGAGGAGGAGGCGGAGGCGGAGGCGCGGGCGGAGGCTCCGGCTCGGCGGGTCGCCAGGACCGGCAGAGCTACAGGAGTTCGGCCCACTTCCGGAGCCTCCTGGACGGCCTGCTGGCTCTCCGGGAGGGGGGCGTCCTGTTTGACGTGGTGCTGCTGGTGGAAGGTCGAGCCATCCCCGCTCACCGCGTCCTCCTGGCGGCCTCTTGTGATTACTTCAGGTCGGTGTCAAACTTTTTTTTACAAAATAAAACCCGGAAGTAGAGTCCCTTAAACCAAACGACGTCACCCGACGTCGACTTACCTCACGGTGTTTGTGACATCATCTGAGTGGGGGGGGGGAGGGGGGGGAGGAATGGTCTAGAATCCGTGGTTCTGGTCCCGTCATGTCCAGGGTGTTTTCGGTCGCCATTACCGCCGGTCTCCCACGACAACCTCCAGGCCCCGGTACCGGTGACGTCACAAACCCGTCACAAAATGGCGGTTTATTAAAAAAAAATTTTAAGCACCGACTCGTCCCGTCACTTCATCAGAGTTTGTTTTTTTGTTTTTTTTACTTCGGCAACATCTTAACGTATATCGCTACACGGTGAGGAAGTGTCGCAAAAAGCCGTAAAACGTTTGAAAACAATAGTTTTAAACTACGTCATTCCGACGTTGAACTTTATTATCCGTCTGCGTCATCATTTAAAAAGGTGAAAAAAAAAATTTTACTTCGGCATCTTATCGTATATCGCTACACGCTGAGGAAGTGTCGCAAAAAGCCGTAAAACGTTTGAAAAATAGTTTTTCACTTCGTCATTCCGACGTTGAACTGTATTATCCGTCTGTGTCATCATTTAAAAAGGTGAAAAAAAAATTTTTACTTCGGCCATCTTATCGTATGTCGCTACCCGGTGATAAAGTGTCGCAAAAAGCCGTAAAACGTTTGAAAAAATAGTTTTTCACTACGTCATTCCAACGTTGAACTTTATTATCTGTCTGCGTCATCATTTAAAAAGGTGAAAAAAAAAATTTTACTTCGGCATCTTATCGTATATCGCTACACGCTGAGGAAGTGTCGCAAAAAGCCGTAAAACGTTTGAAAAATAGTTTTTCACTTCGTCATTCCGACGTTGAACTGTATTATCCGTCTGTGTCATCATTTAAAAAGGTGAAAAAAAAAATTTTACTTCGGCATCTTATCGTATATCGCTACACGCTGAGGAAGTGTCGCAAAAAGCCGTAAAACGTTTGAAAACAATAGTTTTAAACTACGTCATTCCGACGTTGAACTTTATTATCCGTCTGCGTCATCATTTAAAAAGGTGAAAAAAAAATTTTTACTTCGGCCATCTTATCGTATGTCGCTACACGGTGATAAAGTGTCGCAAAAAGCCGTAAAACGTTTGAAAACAATAGTTTTAAACTACGTCATTCCGACGTTGAACTTTATTATCCGTCTGCGTCATCATTTAAAAAGGTGAAAAAAAAAATTTTACTTCGGCCATCTTATCGTATGTCGCTACACGGTGATAAAGTGTCGCAAAAAGCCGTAAAACGTTTGAAAACAATAGTTTTAAACCACGTCATTCCTACGTTGAACTTTATTATCCGTCTGCGTCATCATTTAAAAAGATAAAAAAAAAGTTTTTTTTTTTTTTTTCTTCGGCAATATCTTAACGTATATCGCTACACGGTGAGGAAGTGTCGCAAAAAGCCGTAAAACGTTCGGCCTTCACTGTCGCAGCGCAACCGTTAAAACATTTAAAGAAAATATAGTTTTTCACTACGTCATTCCTACGTTGAACTTTATTATCTGTCTGCGTCATCATTTAAAAAGGTAAAAAAAAGGATTTTTTTTTACTTCGGCATCTTAACGTATATCGCTACACGGTGAGGAAGTGTCGCAAAAAGCCGTAAAACGTTCGGCCTTCACTGTCGCAGCGCAACCGTTAAAACATTTAAAGAAAATATAGTTTTTCACTACGTCAATTAAAAATGTAAAAAAAAAAAAAACTTTCTAAATTTAAAATGGACACATTTTTTAAAAAATACGTATTTTACCGAAACACCAGGGGGCGCTCAACACCCACTGTTTAAGTGGTGAAATACAGCAGTTTTCAAAAAAAAAAAAAAAAATATTTTTTTTTTTTTTTTTTCTTTCGGCAACATCTTAACGTATATCGCTACACGCTGAGGAAGTGTCGCAAAAAGCCGTAAAAGGTTTGAAAAAAATAGTTTTTCACTACGTCATTCCGACGTTGAACTTTATTATCTGTCTGCGTCATCATTTAAAAAAATAAAAAAAAAAAAAATCCCCCAACGTAACTTGCCGTTAAAAAAAAAAAAAAAAAAATATTTTTTTTTTTTTTTTTTATTTTTTGAAAACTGCTGTATTTCACCACTGAAACAGTGAGTGTTGAGCGCCCCCTGGTGTTTCGGTAAAATACGTATTTTTAAAAAATGTGTCCATTTTAAATTTAGAAAGTTTTTTTTTTTTTTTACTGTTTGAAAACTGCTGTATTTCACCACTTAAACAGTGGGTGTTGAGCGCCCCCTGGTGTTTCGGGAAAATTCGTATTTTTAAAAAATGTGTCCATTTTAAATTTAGAAAGTTTTTTTTTTTTTTTAACGGCTCGTTACGTTGTTGGTGAATTTTTTTTTTTTTACTGTTTGAAAACTGCTGTATTTCACCACTGAAACAGTGAGTGTTGAGCGCCCCCTGGTGTTTCGGGAAAATTCGTATTTTTAAAAAATGTGTCCATTTTAAATTTAGAAAGTTTTTTTTTTTTTTACATTTTTAATTGACGTAGTGAAAAACTGTTTTTTTTCAAACGTTTTACGGCTTTTTGCGACACATCCTCCGCGTGTAGCGATATACGTTAAGATATTGCCGAAGTAAAAAAAAAAAAAAACTTTCTAAATTTAAAATGGACACATTTTTTAAAAAATACGTATTTTACCGAAACACCAGGGGGCGCTCAACACTCACTGTTTCAGTGGTGAAATACAGCAGTTTTCAAACAGTAAAAAAAAAAAAATTCACCAACAACGTAACGAGCCGTTAAAAAAAAAAAAAAAAAAAAAATTCACCAACGTAACTTGCCGTTAAAAAAAAAAAACAAACTCTGCTAACACTGCACTTAGCTAATACAATACAAACGTCGGCCATGTTTGTTGTGTTTTCCCACCACCAGGGGGATGTTCGCCGGAGGCCTGCGGGAGATGCAGCAGAAGGAGGTTCCCATTCACGGAGTTTCGTACGTGGGCATGAGGAAAATCCTGGACTACATCTACACCTCGGAGATCCAGCTGGACCTGGACAGCGTCCACGAAGTCCTGATCGCCGCCACCCTGGTCCAGGTGAGCGACCGTTCCCGTCGTCGTCGTCGTTGCTGTCGTTGCCGTCGTCGTTGACCTTCTCTTTCCGCGTCGTGAAGCTGCAGAACGTGATCGGCTTCTGCTGCGACTTCCTGTTCTCCTGGCTGGACGAGAGCAACATCCTGGAGGTCCTCCGTCTGGCCGACCTCTACGGACTCCAGCAGCTGAAGGCCCAGATCCACGTCTACCTTCTGAGGAACATCAAGGCCCTGTCCCGCACGGAGGCGTACCGCCGGCTGCCACAGGAGGCGGTGTTCCGGGCGCTGAGCAGCGACGAGCTGGCGGTCCACACCGAGGACGAGGTCTACGAGGCCGCGCTCCGCTACCACTGCAGCCCCGAGGAGCTGGAGGACGAGGAGGTCTACGCGAAGGTCACCGCTCAGGTGGGAGCAACGCCGGCGGCTAAAGCTAACGTCTACCGTCCTCGCTCCACTTCGTCGCCTTCGCGCTTCTCACCCACTTCCTGTTTTGTCCCTCCCGTCCGCAGGACAATCCCAAGATGGCGGACGCCGTGCGTTTCAGCCTCATAGAGAAACAGACGCTGCAGAGGCTCCTGGGACGCCTGGACCGGGGTCTCCTGAAGGACTCGGTGGCCGCCGCCCTGCGTTACCACGAGCAGGAGATCTGGCAACCCGTCCTGCAGACGCCGCTGACGCAGCCCCGCTCCACCTTCCGCTGCGTCCTGGGCTTCGGCGGCATGTTCTCCTCCAGCTCCCTGGTGGACAACGAGCACCTGTTCCAGGTCTTCCACCCCACCTGGGGGGAGTGGAGGACGCTCCCCGCCGCCGTCGCCCCCCGGATGTCAAACCAGGGTATCGCAGTGCTCAACAACTTCGTGTACCTGATCGGAGGAGACCGCAACACCAGCGGGTTTCGAGCCGAGACCCGATGCTGGAGGTGAGGGGGGGAGGAAAACGGAGACGGAGGGAGCGCTGCCCTCTGCTGGTCCATGTGGGGAACTACTACTTCTTCTTCTTCTTCTTCTCCGCCGCAGGTACGACCCCCGTCACAACGCGTGGTGCCCGATCTCGCCGCTGCAGCAGCAGCACGCCGACCACTGCGTGTGCGTGGCGGGCGGACACATCTACGCCATCGGGGGGCGGGACTACAGCAACGCCCTGGACACGGTGGAGCGCTACGACCCGCGCACCAACAAGTGGGAGTTCGCGGCGCCGCTGAAGAGAAAGGTACGAGGGCGGATGTAGTACCGACAGCGTCCACCGGGGGGCTACCGACTTCCAGCGAGGGGGCGGCTAATTTCCGAACGCAAGCTGATTTTTTAGCTCTCACGTTAGCATCTTTTAGCTTCTCCGGCTAACGTTTAGCCTATCTGCCCTCCCCCCCGTCCGTCCGTCCGTCCGTCTCTTCAGGTCTACGCCCACGCGGGGGCAGTGTCGGGGGGCAAAATCTACGTAACCTGCGGGCGCCGAGGCGACACGTACCTGAGGGAAACCTACTGCTTCGACCCGGCGGCCAATCACTGGACGGCGTGCGCGGAGGGGCCGGTGGAGCGGGCGTGGCACGGCATGGCCGCCGTCAACGGGTCCGTCTACGTGATCGGAGGAAGCAACGATCAGCAAGGCTATCGGCGCGACGTCCTGAAGGTACGTGTGGCCGCGGGAGCACATTTGGACTAAAAGTCTTACCTTAGTTCGACCACAAGAGGGAGCCAGTTTATTGATAGAAATACTGCACCTCTCGATCCACTCCACCAGGGGGCGGTAAGTCTTTTTTTTTTTTTTTTTTTTTTGCAATGTTGATTTTTTTTTTTTTTTTTTTTCAGGACAAATTTTTCGGGATCTTTCCGTTAGCTCGCAAATTAAAAAAAACTGATTGTAATCCACGTCTTTGGCCCACAGGTGGCGTGCTTGGACACCTCGAACAACTCCTGGTCTCTGGTCTCCCCTCTCCCCAGTGGACACGGAGAACCGGGCGTCGCCGTCCTGGACGGTCGCATCTACGTCCTGGGTGGACGTTCGCACAACAAGGGCAACCGGATGAAGTACGTCCACGTTTACGACAGCGGCGCCGACCAGTGGCGGAACGGCACCGACTTCAAGGAACGGGTCTCTGGGATGGCGGCCTGTGTGGCGCTGGTGCCTCCTGCCGTGATCGGCCAGGCCAGGAGCTGGGAGCAGCGCACCAAGGCATCATGGGAGGAGGAGGAGGACATGGACAACTCCGAGGACTCCAGTGAGGACTGAGCGCCCCCTGGAGGACGTTTTTTGCTGTGGCTGCCCGACGTGTCCCTGTTTTGCGTGTTGATGGTTTTTTTGGAGATCGTCTGAACTTTTTAGACGGATATTTTTATCACTGGAGTGGACTGGACTGGACTGAACTGGACTGGACTGGACTGGTGTGGTCTAGACTGGACTGGACTGGACTGGACTGGAGTGGACTGGACTGGACTAAACTGCACTGGACTAAACTGGACTGGACTGGACTGAGTCTGGACTGCACAACTGGTCCGGACTGGACTGGACTGGACTGGACTGGACTGGACTGGACTGGACTGGACTGGACTGGACTGGACTGGACTGGACTGGACTGGACTGGACTGGACTGGACTGGACTGGACTGGACTGGACTGGACTGGACTGGACTGGTCTGGTCCGGACTGGTCTGGACTGGATGGGACTGGTCTGGTCTGGACTGGACTGGACTATTCTGGTCTGGTCTGGACTGGACTGGTCCGGACTGGTCCGGTCCGGTCCGGTCCGGTCTGGTCTGGTCCGGTCTGGTCTGGTCTGGTCTAGACTTATCTGGACTGGTCTGGTCTGTAGACCCCCTGCTGTGATCTTCATCTCTGCCTCCTCCTCCTCACTGTTTCTCTGTCACAGACACACTACAGCACTGACCCCTGGACCTGAGGTCACATGACCTGTGATCACGTGACCTGTGATCACGTGACCTCAGCTGCTACGATGAAACTGTCCATTAAATCAAACACTACTGATGACGTATGTGACATGACGTGGACATGACCTGTGATCACGTGACCTGTGACTGAGGTCACATGACCTGTGATCACGTGACCTGTGATCACGTGACCTCAGCTGCTACGATGAAACTGTCCATTAAATCAAACACTACTGATGACGTTTGTTTACTGTTCACTTCTGTCTTAGTTTGAGGACGACGACGACGGACGGACAGAGAACGAGGGAGAGAACGAGGGGGCGGGGGGCAAAAGAAATATATTCTTAAATACAAAAAACAGACAATGTCTACATGATGTAAATATATAATCTGAGTCAGTTGTCATAGACGATAATAATATATAGTGTACATGTACACAATATATACACATATAAGTATATATGTGTATATACACAATAATATGTATTGTGTATGTATTTGTGCATGCATACGCAATATATACTATATATATATTTATGAACACATACATATATGTATACATATATGTCTACATACATATATATGTATGTAGACATATATGTATACATGTAACCTCCAAAATACATATATGTAGACATATATGTATACACATATGTATACAAATATGTATTCTGGAGGTTACATGTATACATATATGTCTACATACACATATGTAGACATATATGTAGACATATATGTCTACATATATGTAGACATATATGTCTACATATATGTCTACATACACACATGTAGACATATATGTATACATATATGTCTACATGTGTGTATGTAGACATATATGTAGACATATATGTCTACATATATGTCTACATACACACATGTAGACATATATGTATACATATATGTCTACATGTGTGTATGTAGACATATATGTATACATTTAACCTCCAAAATACATATATGTAGACATATATGTCTACATATATGTATTTTGGAGGTTACATGTATACATATATGTTTACATATATGTATTCTGGAGGTTACATGTATACATATATGTCTACATATATGTCTACATATATGTATTCTGGAGGTTACATGTATACATATATGTTTACATATATGTATTCTGGAGGTTACATGTATACATATATGTTTACATATATGTATTCTGGAGGTTACATGTATACATATATGTTTACATATATGTATTCTGGAGGTTACATGTATACATATATGTCTACATATATGTAGACATATATGTAGACATATATGTCTACATATATGTATGTAGACATATATGTATACATGTAACCTCCAGAATACATATATGTAGACATATATGTCTACATATATGTCTACATATATGTCTACATATGTGTATGTAGACATATATGTATACATGTAACCTCCAGAATACATATATGTATACATATATGTCTACATACATACATATATGTAGACATATATGTCTACATATATGTCTACATATGTGTATGTAGACATATATGTATACATATATGTCTACATACATACATATATGTAGACATATATGTATGCTGTATATATTAGCTCATTTTCTCGTGGGGGGCTTCAACCTCAGGTCCGCGGCCCACGCGGCCCAGCTCGTGTCGGACCGCCCTCACCGATTCCCCTCAGTGGCAAATACAGACAGGTGAGAAAACAGCGCCCCCTACCTGCCGATATCAACCATGAATGACAACCACGTTTGGGTTCAACCTGTGAGTTTTACTGAACTCATCTCTCCCCCCCTGTCAGTGATGTCATCTCCTTATATGACCTCCAGGGGGGGAGGGGCGGTCTTCAGTCAACCTGGGTGTCCCTCTCTGTCTGTCCCTGTCTCTCTGTCTGTCTCCCCCAGTTCCTGTCCATTTGTCCCCTCACTGCAGCAGCTGCTATGAAGATTCACCTCCGCGGGGCCGTTACATCTACCCCCCCCTCCTACCCCCACCTCTTCACACTC